AATTCACTCTCTGAGAGTTACCTACAAAGAAGTTACCATAAGACTATCAGCTGATTTCTCCAAAGAAACCTTGCAGGCACGAAAGGGCTGGAGAGAAGTATTCAAAGTCATGAAAGGCAAGGACCTCCATCCACGATGACTCTATCCAGCAAAGCTATCATTTAGAATGGAAGGGCAGAGAAAGCACTTCCCAGATAAGGTCAAGGTCAAGGAGTTCATCATCATTCACCAAGCCCTTATTACATGAAATGTTAAAGGGACTTATCTAAGAAAAAGAACAAGATCAAAACTATGAACAGTAAAATGACAACAAACTCACAGCTATTAACAACTGCACCTAAAAACAAGAACAAAAACAAGCTAAGCAAACAACTAGAACAGGAACAGAATCACAGAAATGGAGATCACATGGAGGGTTATCAGCAGGGAGCGGGGAGATTGGGTGAAAAGGTATAGCGAATAAGAAGCATAAATGGTAGGTACAAAATAGACAGGGGAAGGTTAAAAATAGTATAGGAAATGGAGAAGCCAAAGAACTTATATGTATAACCCACGGGCATGAACTAAGGAGGTGGGAAATACTGGTGGGAGGGATGAAGGGTGGAGGGGGATATTGGGGAGAAGAAAATGGGACAACTATAATGGCATCATCAATAAAATGTATTTTTTTTTAAAAAAGAATTCACTCTCCCAAAATAGTACATTGGCAATCTTTGCCTTAGGCAAGCAGGTCACTCATTAAAATTTGTATTTCTATCTGAAAATTTGTTTTCTCCTCAAATGGTTTTCTTTTACCTGAGAATCTTTCACTGGAAATAAACTCCCAGTCCTAATACTACCGAGTTCCTTATGAACCAGTATGAATCAAGGTGCTTCTGTCCGCCACAATGTTGAAAAGTTAAATAATGAATTTGAATCTTCTAGCAATGTGAAAACAGTCCTAAACCATGGACCCAGCTACCTGTCCAAGGTTCAAAGGCACGTGGAGGAGCTTCCTGGCTTTCCTTCATCATGGTTCACTTTATTCCTGGTGAGAACCTGCTAGCAACTTACACAAGGGGCCAGGCAAGTTTTGCTGGCTTACTTAGCCTGTCTTGTAGTTTGGCAACACCATACAGGCTCTGATGAGCAGGCTCTTCTCTTCTAAATCCTTTATGTTTTCCCATTTCTGCAGAATAACAGCTTGACACTCTCCCACAGAACTTTAGGACATTCATTCATTTGTTCAACAAATATTTGCAGACTACTTGCTCTGCGCCAGGCACTGTTTTAGACGGCAAAGAACAGAGTCCCAGCCTACGCGGTTCTTGCATTGCAACAGGGGACGAATAAAGAAGTAAAAATATAACATTTGATTAAAAAACTAAAAGGAACTGAGACAAGTTACAAGGTCTGCATCTATTAGTCACTGAAATTTTAAGTAAGGTATAAACCCAAGAGCTGGTTGGATGAGCAAGGTGAGCTAAATAGGAGAGTAGTAAGGAAGGGAGGTGAGATTTTTGGGAGCCTGACTTCCTATGCTTTGTTTTCTTCTCTTGCCTTTAAAATTGAAATGTTTGCTCAGCCTCCTACTCTCAGTAAAGAAGCAGGGCCTCTGTGTAAGGAAACTCTATTCCTTCCCTTGTGCAAACAGGAGCTTGAATGCCGGCCACAGTGACAGCGGGGGAATGTGCGACAATGCTCCAGGAAATGAATTCTTTAACAAAAATCAAACGGAAGACGGGCAGCCACAGCTCGCTGCCTTCAGGTGCAGGGGCCTTCATATTTTAGATTACGGAAAAAAGGAGAGAGCAAATCTGACGTGCTGTAGACAGTGTCTGCCGGCAAACAGTCTGAGTTCCAGTGAAAAGACTTTCTGTGAGACCCACCCAAAACAGATGGCGTTCCAGAGAAAAGGAGCCTGGATGTGTCAGTCTTATTCCATACAATTTCTGCATCTGTACAAAAGATTAAGCTCATTTTTCCCCAAAATAGTTTTAAATTAAAAAATAGCTTTTCAAAAAATAAAAGCAGTGGGGGTTACTTTTGAAGGTCCTTGACTGGGAAGAGAACACAGGGGAACATCCTGGGATGATGGGAATATTCTCAACCTGGATCTGGGTGCTTGTTAAATGGGTGGATATATTAAAAAAGTGTAAACTCAATAAAACTTCACCTGCACCCTGAAAAAAAAGTCATCACAATACAACAATATTTGTCATTTTACTGTGTTTTATAGTAACTTCAATGAAAAAGGAAAAAAATAAGTAAAGGGCAAGTCCACATTTTAGGCTGCGGATGTGTAGTAAACTGAACACCATAAACTATGTGCTCTGCAGCTTACGAAGGGACCGATTCAGACCTTTACAGCTGCTTCCCATCTGCTCAGCATGAGTGAGCAAACCAAAGAGTTAACTTTCTCCTAGCCACTGGCATGCATCGCATTTCAATGCTAAACCTATCTAGAAAGGAAATTAGAAAACAAATAAGGAAGAAGGGAAATACCCACTGAGTTCTCAGCTCAGACAGAATTCAGAGACCTTTGCATGCTGGTTGCGAACTTCTCTTAGTGGAGTTTTCCATGCTGGTAATAGTTTGATCCCAAGAATTCCTGGTCCCCTTAGGAATGGTAGATCTGCCACAAAGGCAGAAATAATTGTGTAAGGCCTCTGCTCCCTAAATAAATGTAAAAAGGTCACTTCACAGAAGAGTTGTATTTAGAAAACCTATGATTAAGACTATTAAAATTGGGTTGTTTCCAACAACAAACAAAATACAGCTGAATTCCACGTTGCATGCTTTTTAAACTGTATTTGTCCACTACTATTACTTTCTAATTTCTCCTAAGTAAGAAGCTTCCAGATTTTCTGGTTTTGATTCGCTTAAATTCTGTACATGCCCACTGATTATTTTTGTATGATGAACATATTTTTGTTTGATGAAAATATTTTCTCTTTAAAAACAGAAAAGAACAGACTCGCCTTGTGTTAATGACAATTTTAAACCCATAGATTCTTTTGAGGTTTTTATCCCTTAATAAAGTGTCAGATTTTTAAAAATTGATTACTAAAGATTTTCCTTTTGCTCCTTTTACTCTGCTTTTATTTTAAAGCGTTCATGTCATTAATCTCAATAAAACTGTGTTTTCGAAAATATAAAGTCTAGTATGCTGGGAAAAAATCTAAATATCTATATCATATCTGTATCTCTAAATGAACTCCATGATTGACAAAAATTATTTTTTCTAAAATGTTATTAAGTCAGCTGTTGAGAACTCAAAAATCTATTTTTTCCCTCTAGAAACATGGTATTTGTGTTCTCAGAATAGCCCACAAAAACTAGGTAACTTATTTAGCAATGAAAGTAAAATATTGTATGTCTATGGGAAAATTTAAATAACAATAAAAATATTATAATAATAGCAGTAGCAGAAGATTACTGAATAAAACAGAATTTTATAATTTTACCTTTTAGCTATTGTTTGAAGACGTGCTTAATTACATGAAAGACATCTTCAAATAAACTATGTTTGTCAATACAGATAATGCAGAATAAATAGTAAAAGCAGAATATGAATCATCCTACCAACCAAAACTGTCTACTCTTATAGTGTTATGCTTATCTCCAAGAATGGAAATACATTTTTTTACATAATTGAGATTACACTGCACTGTTTTGTATCTTGCTTTTCCCAATCGCTGTTTAGTTTAACTAGTTTGAAGAGCATCAGCATAGACTTTTTTGTCTAATCACACTTCAAACCTCAAATCTCTTCCTTCTTTCAAGTAAATGCCACTAGTTTTTGTTTCATCTTGGCTGCGATAGGATGTGTACAATGAGGCGAAGGAAGAAAAGAGAAGAACAAGCATGCCAGCAAGGCAGAGTTTTGGTCACAGTGCCCGAGTCAGAGGGGTCTATGGATACAAAGGACTTTTCAGAGGAAAGAAACAGAAACTGGAGCAGTGAACTTGAGAATAACAGGAATTCTAGTATGGAAGCTCAATGGGAATAAGCATCATTTTATCCTACCCCATCATCTGGAAAAGAGATGAATGTTGACCAAGTTTAAGGTGTTGCTTTGGGGACAGAGTTAGTTTGAGGCAATAATGGGAAGGGAACCCAGGTATGCTAATTCTCAACCTTAATCTATATCTTGACTCTCAGAAGTATAGAAACATTGAAGAGCAATAGGTATGCACCATCTCCTTGAGGTCTAACAAAAGGAAATGGTGGAAAAGAGATCGCAGCTCAAACAGTAGCCCAGTGACATGAGGCTTGATCAGAGCTGGCTGAAGCTCAGGAAAAGTCAAGGATAAAAGAAAAAGAGAGCAGAGGAGCCCTCTTAGGTGCCGAGAAGTGAAGACTATGTACAAGCCACTATCCTTAAATGCTTTTCTTTCAGCTCAAGGATTACATGCTCCAGATTTGTCAAAATTCTAGAATGAATGCTGCAATATATTGTTAACTCACCCACACAGATTAGCAAATGGAATGACACTGGAGTTAGTTAACATTCACTCATTTAAGGAAAATAGAACCGATGCTCAATCACAACCAAATACCTGTATCACAACCTTTCCGGTCATTGAAGCAAAGGCCACCTGCCCAAAGCATAAATCTTAAACACTATAAACTTTCTGTCTTTTGGACAGCAGCATGGGTAAGAGTCCACTGTCCTTGTTACACTATTTCTCAGTGCCCTTGTTGATTTCAGCATAAACTTATGACCGGTGACTACTGGGAAGGTAGAAAGGAGTCAGAGGTTGGAAGATGGGAGATAGAGAATAAGGGGTTATAGTGAAATTCTACCAATGATGGTGAATTTTAAAAATAAAAAGCCTTGAAAAATACAAAGCATCTCCCTGAGTGAGGGCTTGGATTCCATTATATGAGTCAGTGTTACTTAGCTTTAATACCAAATGTATTTTTGGTTTGCTTCTTAAGAATCACATCTTACAGATGAAGAACTTGCTTGCTCATTCATTCATTCATTCATTCATTCATTTCTTTATTTTGCTAAGGCTCACTTTGACCTTATCCTGTCCCATGGACTTGAAGAACTTCCCCATGGACGTCCAGACTTGCACAATGCAGCTGGAGAGTTGTAAGTCACCATTGCTGAAATGATTGCCTGCTTGTTTGAATCAATAACCTGCTTCTTCTAGTGTGTAATTAAGGAGAAAAGGCCCAGCAGTCTTATTCTCTACCTACTTACCAATTTCCAGGGTCCTAATAAAAGGGCAAGCAAAAGTGTGTGTGCATGTCTCATGCCTAATAGACTATTTTTCCAAGTAAAATGTCAAATAACTCATCTTTCTCAAAAAAACAATCCTGATTGAATAAGCTTTTCTTTGAAATGAAAATATCTCTTGGGAAAATTAAGTTTATTAGTCATTCAAGCTCTATAATGAATTGCCCTCTAATCAGAAAAGTGTATTTCTTTCTCACTCATGGTCATATAGACCATCAGCCCAAAGGGATTTTGGCAGGAAAGGATAACTGATTTGAGGCCAAGGTACAGGAGCTTTAGTGAGGAGAGGATGCAAACCTGAGGGGCAGGAGATGATATGCGATGAAAGGCATCTCCTTTAGATGGGCAGTGGGTACATTAAGGCCTGGTGAAGACAGTAGAGAAATGCTGTCTACTTTGTCCCCTTTATTCCTTAGCCCTGATACCACTAAAATCTTTGACACATGCCATACGCTGCTAATGCCTTCAAGGTAATGGGATTTTCAGTCAAGAGACATGAAATTTTTTTGGCTTACTCTGTCAGTTTCTCTATTTGTGAAATGTAGAGACTAGTACGTCCTACTGACCTACAGGTATGTTAAGAGATTTATTGAGGAAATACTTGTAACTTCTTGATTTAGAAAAATAATAAATAATATATATTAAAAGACATATCGACTATTATTTAAAAAGGGGCAGTGACAGGGATTCCTATCAATCATTTAAAATCACCATAGAATTCCGCTGAACCTTCCTACAGAAACAAAGAACATAATGAAATGTCTTTGTTTTAAGAAGTTGTCAGGGACAAAAAGAGAATTTCTGATTAACGATAAACTTTATGTATTCTTTTTGTCCCCTATCTCCCCTTCTCTTGAGCAAAAAAACTAAGAAACACATTTTCTTACACAACGATTCCTTCTCTGTCTTCTCTACTGCTCCAAACTCACCCCTGCCTCAACCCAACACGGATGTTCTCTGTAAAACAACAATCATAGCTGTCATCTGAGGCTCCTTCAAGGCTTAAAGAACTCCAAATAGTAAATATGGTTGGTACTTGCAGGACCTACAAGTAGGAAAATCAAAGAAGCAGTGATGTGTTTACCACTTTGAATGTGAAGGGTAAAAATTACTCTTCACTTTTCTACCCTCATATTACCTCCTCCTTCCCCACCTCCTCACCTCTTCTGCCAGGTTGGACCTTCAGGCTGGCTGACAAGGACTATTACTGTGGTGGCCAGCAAGAAGTTTACCAGACAAGCATATGGGGTATTGGATGAGCTTCTAGTATTTGCTGTAGTTACCCGAGTACTCATACAGCATGGCAATAGGTTTGGCCATTCTCTCTGTAGACCATCAATGCTTGTACAGCATCCTCTTTGTAGTTCCTTTTTTTCCAGATTAATTTTTGGCTTTGAATGGAAAAGGTGGTCCAAACAAAGAAGAAAGTAGATTCCAATTGACTTTGCCATTAAATCCTGGGTAGCTTTAGAGAGTCACTAAGTTGCAGTAAACAATTATAACAACCTATAAACTTAAGAAACATGTACTGGCCAATCAAAACCTCACATAATATTCATTGCCCTCCTTACTCTGATTTTAGTGTTCAAATATCACAAACAAAGGGAGAGGATAGATAAATGGAGTCTGAAGGAAGAGTAGCCTTCTTTTCTGGGGTGTAGAAAGATCCAGAAGCACTTTATAGATAATGACATAGTTAACAGGAACTTGGAGACTAAGAGCTAACTTTGGTTTAGTAAACTGATAGCAATCTTACTTTGGATGGTTCAAAAGTCATGTAACAATATGACCTTATATATAAAGAATGTTTTATTTCATATTAATCGTTGTGATGAGTGGACCCATTTAGCAAGACACTAGCACAAATAAAGATGTTTGAATTGCATATTCTGCAACTTCCTCTTAGGCTAACTGCCTCTAGTCTTCCCACTTACTAAAGGCAACTAAAGATTAACCATGAGGACCGTAATGTAAGTTTTCTGAAAACAAAGCTAATAGACCCTAGAAGAGGGGCCAAGTTGCAATGGGAATGTTTTAGGCCTGTGATGAATTCATTCTCATTAAACATAAAAAAAAAAAGAATGTCTTTCATTTGAAATACTAAGGCTAGCATCATGAATTGTATTGTCTTATTGGATTACCACAGACAAGAGCTCTTTCAAATAAAGACAATCTCCAAGGGGTTATGTTTGTTTACTTGTTTGTTCTTCAGAAAGATTTAGTGAAGAAAGCAGAAGAAAATGGACTTGAGAGATTCCATTTTCTCATTAAACAGGAAAAAAAAGCCATTCAGAAATAGCTTGCTGTCTTCAATTTCTTTGGCTCCAATAACATGTAGTTGCCATGATGATTGCAGCTATTTTATTGAAAAGTCTCTTGAACTGATTGAGCATGTGTCTACTTTAGATGATTTTCTTACTAGTTTCTTTATACGGCTAGTCTTCCAAGGTTTCATGGACAGACGCATTCACTTGTTCACTGTGCTTTGTTTACCCCAGTTGGGTACACGATGAATGACCTGATATTTGAATGGTTAAGCGATGGTCCAGTTCAAGTTGCCGAAGGATTGACTCTGCCTCAGTTTATTTTGAAAGAAGAGAAGGAACTTGGCTACTGCACAAAACACTACAATACCGGTAAGTGTTCTTTCAGCTGCTAAACCCAAGTGGGCTCCAGCTGCAGCTTGGGTTGTATAGCCCGTTGCTTTACTTGCTGGATATTTACCAAGAAAATAGAGCTACACGGCAAGGACCTGGGCTGGGCCCCAACCCCCCTCCGCAGATAAGATGTCTATACCCTCTGGAATAGGTCAGTGAGCACAATAGAGACTTTTTGCAAACCTGAGAGAAAAGGAAAAAGATTTGGGAATCTTCTGCTGTTCTCTTGCTGACCATCTGCGGTCGATGAAGTCTGAGAAAAGGTATATGAGACCTTGTAAGTGGTGCAGGAAGTGTATACATTCTGGCCAGCTTCCCCGGCATCCCCTTTTGACATGGAATCCTCAGGGCAATTTGCACTCTCTGTCCTAGTGGAAGAGAGGGATAATAACATAGATCATTGCAAACCCAGGAACACAGCTGTTGTGCTCTCCAGGACTGGACAATAATAGGAGTTCGGTTGAATTTCAGCTGGCGGGGATTCAGCGGGCCCTGAAGACAAGCATTGTCAGTGGTGCTGAGGGATACATGGGGCGGCGGGACAATAGGAGTTGGTAGCAACGGCGGGCGTCTGTTGTTACCTGGAAGATTATGCCCACTCAGGAAAATTGATGGCTTTTCATACGAATGTCCCAGTTTTGATAGCACAGAAGCTGATCATAGATGGGCAATTGTGACAGGATGGTTTGTGCAGTGACTGCTCCAGGTCCCTTGCTGAGGAGAATGGCCTGTGCACACGTGTTTCAGCAGTCAGCGGTGCCTCCTGTGAAGTAACTGAAACCCGATTCCCAGTGCGCCGCCCGACCAAGAAGAATGCAACCCTATCTCTTATCATTTGTGTGTGCTAAGCCCAATTACCTTCTGGGGCTCTAGCTCCCAGCCAGTTAAAGACAGAAGAAGTGGCAAGGAGCAGGGTCATCTCTCTCACAGCGGTGTGTTAACAGTTTTCACATCTTTATGTGCACCCTGTTTTACAGGCAGTGTAACATTGTAAACAGAGTCTAGAAATATTCTAAATGTCCTCAAGAATATCTGTCTTGGGTACAAATACTCTAAATGTACCCAAAAGGCTAGGATATTTTTATAATAACTAGATTATATGCATCGATGACACAAATATATATTTTTCTCTTGCTATTGATAACACAATAATAGATATACTATTATTCAAATACTTTGGGAGACCCATATGAGCTTTACCACTTTGGAGGGAATGGTTTCAAATATTACTTATTGCATGTTATATATTTTATGCTGTATATTCTGCTATACATATATGTGATGGATTATATATTATATGCTATATTTTATAACCCCACAAAATATGAGTATTTTCTTTCCCTAGGTCAGTTTACGACAGTCTTGCAAATTTTACAGTTCTGTCTAAATAGTCAAGCTGCAAAAATCACAGATTTTTGAAAATTAAACATCCCACATTGTTTTGGTCCAGTGGCTCCTTAGCTCGCTCATTCTCACACTGTCATTTCTATTACTGGTTAAGTTACAAAAGAGTTCCATTGCTTATGCAGGGTGAGCTTTTTGTAAAATCTTCCAAATCCATCATAATGCTCTTATTTTTTTAAAGTGGCAGTCTATAATAGAAAAGATAACTTCACATTGGATTTTAAATCAACATTTCTTGCCTTCCAGGAAAGTTCACCTGTATCGAGGTTAAGTTTCACCTGGAACGCCAGATGGGATATTACTTGATTCAGATGTACATCCCCAGTCTCTTGATAGTCATTTTGTCCTGGGTCTCCTTTTGGATAAACATGGATGCAGCCCCTGCCAGGGTCGCACTGGGCATCACCACGGTTTTGACGATGACCACTCAGAGCTCAGGCTCCAGGGCATCTCTGCCAAAGGTAAGCGATCTCCTCACTTGACAATGTGTGACCTGAGAAGTTTGTCAATGGTTTTGTCGGCTGGAGGATTCTGGGAAGACAGAAATATTTATCACCCTGTGACCCTGTTCGAGATGCAAATGCAGTAAGAGAACGTAGAGTTGAGTTTGAGATCATGTGAGCTCTGAGGACGTGGGGTAACTGTGTAATCGCATCCATTGGGAGAAATGGGAGTCAGGGCTAAGAGAGGGGAAGAATGAGCGGAGGCACAAACATGGTTTAGGAATTCTGTCTAAGGAGCCCTGTGAGTGCTTTTGACCTCATGTTGTTTATGAGCCATTCAGCTTGCAGGAATTGGCATAAGATTGATATGACTCAGGCGGTACTGTCAACTTTTTATTGGTGAAACTATTGTGATTCATATGCTCAGTAAAGTCACTTACAGTAATAAATGTTTGAATTAAAGCTCCTGGATGTTTGCACAGAAAAGTCATCTCAATGAGTGTGTGTGTACATAACATATAATATTAGGGTGCAGCAAATCACATACATGAATCTTTGTTATGCCTTAATTTACCATAATGGCAGATACACTACTATTTTTGAGCAACCTAGTTGCCTAGAGAAAGATCAGTGGCATTGTCTAAGGTGGTGGATATTCTGGTAACTGTGAGAGGTTGACAGAGAAGTGTGGGATGGATATCAGAGACACATAGACATTTTGTGGCAAGTCAAGGAACAATCCATACGGGCTGCATAATCTATTTTTATGTAAGGCAAGTCCTCTGCATTTGTAAATATTCCTTAAGCAAGCAATATACCCCACTTGTGAAATGCCCCAACTCCCCACAAGTGTGTCTGTGTGTGTTTCCTCCTTTTGCTGAGTACCTTGAGGCATTGGCTTCAAATCTACAGGAATCTGGGTTCAACTTAGTATTCAGTATATACTGTCTCATACTGGTTCAGCCGTCTCTCCAAAACCCAGTTCCAGAGAGTAATTGAGATGTAATCCCGTATCTTTGCTGGCTTGAGCTTAGGTTCAGTTGTGCTGCATTTCACATGATGAGAAATGTTAGACCGTGCCCCGCGTTACTTCCTATGTTGGAAGATAAGGTGACATATGAAAGAGGCCTGCAGCTTTAATGGAGATGGACTGGATACTGGGAAAACAGTTATCCAAACTTTTCAAGTGCCTGGCCTCCGAAGATAAATATTAGACACTGCATGCTAAAAGAGAAAGGAAGAGATCTGTCTCTGATACTTTTATTTTCTAGAACAAATAGTACAAAATACCTGTGTCATATTTCTACAGGAATACAGATGTCAAAAATACTAACAGCCTTTTTTTTCAGCTACATAATCACAAATAAATTTTACCTAATAGAAATCTTAATCCACACTGTGCCCCATCTTAAACAGGTCCACTTGCTTATTTCTCTGTAGTTATTAGTTACTGCCATCACTGCATGCCATGTTGTTAAACCCAAGGATGCACAAGCCTGTATTTTACAGTTTAATAGGTAGCTGAAGTATTGGTGACAAATCGTATGCAGATAATGTCAAAAAATAAGACATTTAGCCTCCAACCACTTATTGCTATAAAAATAGTAGTCATTTATTTTCAAAATGGGAGCTTGGGTTTTTATAAATCTGTTACTCATTCTTATTAGCTATTATTATTCTACAACAATGGTCAAAACTATTGCTAAATAAATGGTCACTGCTCAGTGATCTTTGTCTGCAGAGACAATCAGGAACCAAACGAGGGGATAATCGAAAATCCTTTTATTCTGGGCTCTGAACTCATAGTGGTTATCCGTTTGCCATCAGCAGGTTTATCTTCCTACGTGTATTTTTCTTGGGCTATTATTAAACATGGTTGGCTCTCAGCTCACGGTGGAGAGATGTGACTCATATGGATGACAGTGAGAAAGAAAAATGGGATGAAAAGTGAGTCATGGAAAATAAAGACTTGACCATGCACTCGCGCGCATGCACACGCACACACACATCCACATCCACATACTCATTTTAACGTATAAATATTGCAGCCCCCAAGCAGATACTCCGCTCTGCCGACTGGAAAGATGTTCCAGGGCCTATGGCAACTCACTTTACAAGCAGGCATGCACACTGCATTTTAAAAGTAAGAATGCTCGTTATAGAAAAGATAGAAAACAAAGAAAATATCATTAATGTTAGCCATCCAGTTAATAACTGTTGTTAAGATTTTGGTGTATTTCCTTCCAGCCTTTTTTTTTTTCCTATTCATACTTGTAAGTAAATCCACACAGCTGCACACACATAAAATTGAGATCTAATTTTTATACAGTTGTACACTATTTCCCATGGCATTAAAAATCTATCATAAACATAATTTTCACTGGCTTAATAGTCTATCCGATGTGTTAATCATCATTTATTTTACCATCTTGGGTATTTAGGATTTCTTTTTTGCTTTTATAAGTATGATCATTGTAACATATTTGTACATGAGTGTTTGTGTCTCACTGTGTTGTAGAAGACATATGCATATATTTTTTAAATCTTATTTTGTAATGTGAAAAAGAAGGCACTGAAGATGCTTAGAGTAAGGTTTGCTGTGCAGGGGTGTCCAACCTTTTGGCATCTCTGTGCCACACTGGAAGAAGAAGAGTTGTCTTGGGCCACACATTAAACACATTGTGACATGTAATCACAAAAAAATCTCATAATGTTTTAAGCAAATTTACGATTTTGTGTTGGGCCACATTCATAGTCCTCCTGGGCCACATGTGGCCCACGAGCCGCAGGTTGGAGACCCCCTGATGGTAAGATGCCCGATGAGATGTAGGTTCCACTCAGGCAAAAACTTGGTTTTGTTCATCATGTAAACTTCAGTACCTGAAACAGTGTGTGACTTAGACTACATGATTGATATATCTTCATTGAATGGATAAAGAAATAAATTAATGAACAGCCATCTTCTCCCATGTGAGACCATGTAGCAAATAGAGTAGACTTGAAGTAGAATCCACGAGTAAAAGTGTTACAGAAAAATATTAGAGTTTTAATACATGGAAGAATCTCATAATTTTATAACAGATACGGTCGAGGGATGGAATTTCTCTAAAGAAGTATGACTATGTCTTTCTTTCCCGAAGTTCTCAAGTTGACTTTGGAAAGTTAAGACTATAGCTACAAAGGTCTATTTTGAAATATGGGGAGGCCTGGATCAAAAACTCAGAACCTTCACTTCACTCATCTTCTCTAAGCCCATTCACTTATTTCTAAAATGAGAATAATATTATCTGTCTATTTCAAAAATTAAATGAGGATGAGATGCAGCATTACCAGTATAAAGTGTTTAGCCCACTCAATTCATTCTGGTTATTTTTGTTGTTATTGTTCCAGGTCCATAGCATAATAGAAAAGACTGTACCATGTGATGGGAGGTTATATTAGAAGACTCATAAAGGGCCTTAGGAATAGAAGACAGCATGTTCTTTGGATGGCTCATTATTTGGTTATAGTCATCCTGCCAATGAGAGGAGCCCAAGTTTATCACATGATTGTGTGTATATGCATGTGAGCACCTTTCATAGGCAGGCAGTTTACTGAACGAGTTAAGTTCCAGAGGGCCTGAATAAATAACGGCTTTGTTTTTTCCCCAATCACTGCCATTAAACATCCTCCATTTGTTCTGTTTTCCCTGCCCCTGGAGGACACTTCAGTAAGGTTCCATAGATTCTCAGTTATTACATGGCAGGCCATTAGACTCAGAATGAACAACCGTGTATTTTACCATTTAATAGACAGCTCAAATATTGGGGGTACTATAGGACAGTCCATTATCAGATCTTTATCTATCCTGAAACAAACTTCAGACTCACACCCAATTCAGTGGCCTTCCCCTCCCTTGCCCCCAGCTCAGACCTGACCTTTGCCTTGAACATGTGCAGGGAGGCGGGCACACTGCCTGTTCCTCCCCCTTGCTTTCCCAATTCTCTGCGCAATCCTGTTACTGACTTCACTACTGTTGACAGCTGAGGGTGAAAGGGTGGATGGAAAAAAAGTTGTATGTGACTGACACTGTTGTATTTTAAGTCTTGCTTTCTCTAATGGCAAGCCTCCAAATTCCCACCTTCTTGTGCGTGGAACTTGCATTCTTTAAAGATTTCTAGGGGTCCCACACACTATACCATTCATAGATGAACAATGCACTCTCCGGCCGATGTCTTAGAATCACATCGAAGCTATCACCTCCTAGGATCATATCCCATGCAACTTCTTACTCCTGGATTCTCCTTACCCAAGTAGACAGCCCTCCCTGTTGATATGCTTCCAAGATGATTTACATCTGGCTACCTTCCACAGCATCTAGAACATGCATTCTTGCCTTACTAACAAGTGGAAATGCAACTTAAATAACTGGTAACCCTTCTACCTTCACCTCCCCACCTTGGACCTTCCAGCCAGCCTACATCCTTCACAATTTATCCAGGTAAGAAACAAGTTCCTGTGTTCATGTTTTCATACAGAACCTAAACCACTGAGGACACATTGCAGGTTCTCCTAAGACCTCTTTTACTCTCTGATACAGGGCAACTTGTTGGAATTTGAGCAGCTCAGCAGATAGATGACACATGGAAAAAATGCCAATTTCTTCTCTTACAGGGGTGGGGGTAAATAAATCACCTTCTCCCCATCTTCAGGAGAGTAGGGAAAATGCCACAGCACTGTCAACATCCACAAATTCCATTACTTCCATTAATTCTTTTTGAATGTCTAGTCTTCAGCAACAGGCTATACAACATAGCCTAGGTGTGTAGTAAGCTGTACCATCTAGGTTCATATAAGTGTGCTCTGATGTTTGCTCAATGACAACATCACCTAATGACACAAGTAACAGAATGTATCCCTGTCATTAAGTAACAACTGTGTAAGTACAACAAGAAAGATGCCTAACCTATTAAAAGGAGGAAGGTGAAATGGAGGGGGAGAGAGAGAGGGAGGAAGCAAAGAGGAAAGGCGTCCGAGGA